GAGGACGGCTGCCATGCTAGTCACGGGAGCACTGCCCACTACACCTACCAAATCTCAGGAAATAATGTTAAATCTTCCACCTGAGGACAGACCTCAGATTCGGACACGCAAAAGTTCTTAAAACTCTCCCACTCCTCTACTCTGCTTAAACAACAAATTCTCCAGAAGGATCCCAGCAGAATTGAACGCAGTAATGGAGGCGGCACGGTGGGTTATAACCTCCGCCCCTCCAGGACGGCCTATTGCTATCTATTCTGATAGCCAGGCTGCTATCAAATCTCTCAATTCTAACGGAACAACGTCCAAACTAGCCATAGAATGCAGGAAGATTCTCAACCTGCTGGCATCAAAATGCTCCTTGACTGTTGTATGGGTCCCTGGACATAGGGACACTCCTGGCAACTGCCTAGCCGACGAGCTGGCAAGGAGAGGGACGGAGATATCTGAAGTCAATTTTGCTCAGAATGCGGGCATACCTCTAACCTCCTGCAAACACAGACTAAAGGCGGAACTCGTCGAGGAGGTAAATATCAGGTGGCTGTGGAAACCACCTGCCATACTAGCAGGCAAATTTGGCCAAAGATTGATGTAAAGCGAACCATAGCTCTTACCCGGCTGGACCGCTCCTCTCTCAAAATAGTAGTCGGGGTAATCACCGGACACTGCCTGATGGGCACACACGGAAAAAGGCTAGGATACCCCACCAACGATTTTTGTCGCAGTTGCAGAGACGAGGAAGAGGTGGAGACCGTTGAACACTATCTCTGCCATTTTCCCGCCTTGGCCAACACGCGCAACCGATTCTTCAACAAGTACTTTCTAGATTGTTTAGCCGATTTGAACTCGGCGAACGTCCTCGACTTTTTGTGCTATATAAAACGCACTCGGTGGTTCAATTACTAAGGAAGGGAAAGAAACAAATGGCTTCGGCCAATTGTATCACAACGGGCTTTTCCAGCCCACGTGTGCTCCGCGCTCTTCGCGGGGCTACCACTCCAACCTAACCTAACCTCACCTATTGTCTCGAAAACTCCAAGAGCCGCTTCATCAGATGTTTCCATTGACTAATACATACATACACATATACGATAAATATGTAGATGAAGCAAACAAGTTAGAATACTTCAAATTTGCAGCAAATTCTAACGGAATTGCAATTACATACAGTAAAAAATTTGCATTTTAATCAATTAGATCGTTTGCGCTCTGCTGAAGGTTGAAGTTCAAACAGTTGTCAGAGGTTATGTACTGTCAATTCATAAGGGATCTCTTTTCGAATGATTTTTTTACCTTATAGGACCTAAAACTGGACATTCGTTGATATTGCCGCTATTAACGTTTTTAAAGCTTTTTTTATTTACATACATACATGGTTCCATATAAAAAAGAAGTCATTTGCTAGCGGCGAGAGTTGTTTGATTTGTGTGCATGGGGCAGCTGCCGTGGCGTAGTAGTTAGAGATGCGCACTAGCCGCCGGTGGTACCTAGGATCGCTTCGTGGTCCAATCAACAACAACAAAGAATGCACTCTAAAGCGGTCGCCAGTCGACAGGCAAACTCATGCATTTCTGTCCTTAAAAGGTTCTCTTTCTCCTATTTGAGGGCAGCATAAAACTATAGTATGTACACCCTTTTAATTTGTGAATCAACCTCGGCCAAACACTTAGAAAAATGAGTGAAGCGCCAAATGTATTTTTTTGTTTTATTAAGTTTCCAGAGCAACAATATAAATAATAAACATCCAAAATATGCCCTGTGCGAAATTTTTGAGTGAACGTGGAGCAAATGGATTATGCATGCATCGGCATTAGTTCTTGCTGCTACTTTCTGTTCAATACTCTTAAAGAAAATTATTTGTTTGTGCAGAATCTCGAAATAATAATATTTATAATTTCTAATGTGAATCTTAGAACCTGCGAACCAGCATTTTATTCGCCAAAATAGCATTGGTTGTAATTAATTTAAGTACTTCATTCAATCGGATTTCTCGCTGGCGTAAAATGTCCTTCGGTTGCTTGAAATTCCTATGGACGCAGGACCGTTTGATCGATGTATCGGCATTCGCTGCGCAGCTAACGCAAAGCATTGAAGAAAACGAGCTGGCATTTTCGTTCGAACAGCCTTTCTGAAATAACGCAGTAACTATAATATTCACATCAGTCCTTACAAAAAAAAAAAAAAAACAATAATTATAAGTACCTAATTAGAAAGTTCGCAGTGTGCGTGCGTGCGTGCATTTTTGAATTTTGAACGGCAAATGCCCACCGCAGCGACTGCAGAATGTTCGTACATAAAAATACTCGAGCGCAATTTGCTGAACATGCGGCCGCCATTCGTGGCGACAGCAGCTCTGAGGACGAAGAGGAGGGAGGCGATGCGTTGCAGGTGAAATTCAAATGAAATTTTTGTCTAAATTGTTGAAAATATTTTAAACGTTCGCTTTTAAATTGCAACTATTAATTAGTACAGTTATTTTGACTTGAGGGTTTGAGGTGAAAACAAAAATAAAAAGCCAACATTAAATATTCTCTGGTTGATTATGTAACCGGGTTACATAAGAATGGATGTGCCAACTTTGCTTTGTCTCTGTTGACAGTACTGTACATGTGTTTGAAATTTATGATTAAAGTAATCATAAGTGAATTTAAATTCTCTTTGAACTTCTAAAGGTATGTAATTTCTTCCGAATATTCTTATAGTCAGTGGAAATTCAGGTCCAGTTAAATATTAATTTTCTAGTAAATGTACGCAAGTAAATATGTACACTAGGCGACAAATGAAAGTGTACACCTTGTTCTAATATAATTTATTTTTTGATACTACTTTTGCCTTTTTTATTTATTTAACAAGTACAATTTGCAAAAGCTGGTTTTTGTGAAATTTTGTTGCTAACGGTATCTCGCAATATACATGTATACATATTTCGCAAGAAATTCATGCTTATATGGGCAAAGTGCAAAAATCCGTCACCAAGAAAAAATCCTCAAAAATTAAGGGGATTTTTTAGCCGCTTGAAACTTGCATTTTCATTAGACTAAAATTGAATGGGCTACACAACTGCATATTCAATATTCTAGAAATTTTGAATGAAAAGTGGAAAATATTGGTTAAAATTTTTTTAATCCATATATAATTGCTCAGTCATACGACTTAGTTAGGGCGATCTGGAGTAGCTAAAGAATTGAGTAATATATCAAATTAAAATGCGTGTTACACAGGTTAGGGCGATCTGCAGCAGTGCAAGAATTGAGCTACAAATATATCAAATTAAAGTGCAAGCTGCAGTTGCAGTTGGCCGTGTTCGTCACAAAAGTAAAACGTGGCAGAATAGTCGATAGTCTATGAAAAATATTAACACATTTTCCGTGGAATTGTGATTCGGATGGATTCGTATTATTCATAGTTTTGAAATATATTTCGCGAAGGCAAAATATAAAAATAGCTGAGATCACTTTCTTTTTCGGACACCTAGGATATCACTGAAAAATTTAAAAGACTCTGAGTGACGGTAAAACTCAAAGCTTGAAAAATTGTTTGATACAATTATCTATCCAAATTAGCAGGTAGATATATTTAAAATTTTTTAGAACCTGTGGTTGAATTTTTGCACTGAAAGGGTTAAGAAAGCTTTAGTATAAAAGTGTGATACCAAATGCCTTTCACCATGAAACCGCGCCAATTTTCAGTGATTTTTGCTTTTCAGACTACGATCAATAAAACCCTTGCACTGATATTGTGAAGGGTTGGACTATACCTTAAAAAATACTGTTTTCTCATGGCCCACTGTGCGATGCTTTGAGTAGCCCTTGAAAATCTTAAAAATTATTTTGAGTTATCAGGTCTCTAGCAATAAATACAAGATTAATTCTTGTCTTTCATGAAGTTCTTTAAATAAATCTTGAGCTAAATACTAAAGTATATTCATGAATATCACGCTTTACTTTTTACATAAATTCAAATCCTTAATATTAGTAAGTACCTATTTCTTTACTGCATTCACCCGAATTTCGGCGGTTATTACTAGTTTTCGTGAGCTTTATATACGTAAAGTGTGAAACTTTGATTTAAATGGTTTATATTATAGAATGAACCATATTTTCATTAATAATTAATGCAATAAATTTTTCATGAAAATAATTGTGAATAATAGATTAGAAAAAGGTGCCCACTTTCATTTGTCGCCTAGTGTATGTACATATATACCACCGAGTCAATAAAAAAAAAACTTTATATTAAATTCTTTTCTTTACAGAATACCTTTCTTTTACAATTATGTTATGCTTATTGGATTTTTTGATTTGCATAAAAAATATTTTTATCCACCTCAATCGGGGGTTAGCCCCTGAAGTTTAAGAATTTTGGTCTGGTAAAAGTTTTCAGAAATTTAAAACATTCTATTTTGTATTTTGAGTGTTGGATAACAATTTTTTCTTCTATGTTTAAATACGTTTTTTTTTTTTTTTTGATTACGCAGTGGAACAATCACTTGAGGGCTCAACCAAACTAGAAGTAAATTACTACGAATTTACTTACCACAAACTGGTTTTAATTTTTGAGTTAGCCCTCAACAGTTTCCCTGAAATTTTTTCATAGCGTAGTTTCCAATTTTTTACCATATTTTACAAAACACACAATTATAATATGTGCACATTAATTCATATTCAGCAATATATGTAGATATACATATATGCCTATATATCTATAATTTTTGCAGCATTTTGAAATTATTTTTGAATTTTGTAAACTAATACATTTTGGTATTTTTGAATTTTGCGGCTTTTCATTGTTATCCTCGATGGTGCAAAAACAAAACCAAAAAATAAAAAAACTTTTGGTGCAAAATATGCAAACTCATCCTACTGAAATTTACATTTTATTTAAATTGAGTTTGTTTCATTGCGTGGCCGGTGCTAAGAAACGCATGAAAAATAAAAATTTCATTATTAATCCACACAAACGGAATCGTTTTTGAAAAAAAAAACATACAAAATTAATCACAAATGACTACCGACGCCGACGAAGCGCAGCGACGACGTGAAGAATGCGAACGCAAAGCTCGACGTGGGGAGATGGACCCCCGTTTGGAGTTCACTTTCCAACTGCTCATCGACGCAACGCAGTTGCCAAGGCATCAACTTATGGATTACATATTCGAGGGAGATATGGTGGGTAACGAACTAAGAAAAGTGGTAAATATTTAGAAAGTTTCCGATACCACATATCCATGTATGTATGTACATTAGACTGCATCACCAAAAAAAGTTGCGGTTTTTCCGTCGAGATTACAAAATTTATTATATTTTAAGACGTCCACCAAAATATTTCGGAAAAATATTAAGATTTAAGCGAGCTGGACCAGTATGAAAATACCTCCAAAAATTAAGTTTTTTATGAATAAAAATAGTTTCTTAAAGAACTTTTTGAAAAAAGTCTCTTCAGATGACAAATTAGATTAAGCTTAAAAAATCTGCATATTTAAAAGCTTTTCAACGGAACCGTAAGAATGAGATTTTTGATGCTGTTATTTTTACTTTTTTCAAAGATTGGCTTACGAAAAACTTGAATAACTGGGCCAAAAATATTCTGATGTAGACTTATGGGATCTCAGTATAAAAGTATTTTAACACTGGTTTTATTTCTGGCCAAACAAACGTCATTCGGGTCCCATCTTGGTTTTTCGAATACCAAAATATCTTAATTCAACTTTGAATGATGTTCGTTCATCCTACCTTTCTCCTCCATCCTTTGAATGAATTTATTAGCAAAGAAATAAAAAGGGTGAGAAAATACCTTTCCATTGACACCTCTTAGGTCTAAATCGGAAGAGTTTAGGTTCAGTTTTTCACGTTTTTCCTAGACCAATCTTTGGAAAAAGTTAAAAAACAGCATCAAAAATCTCATCATTACGATTCCGTTCAAATCTTTTTTTAAATTTTTTTTTAAATATTTTTATGCAAATACTTTAAGCTTAAACCGTTTTGTCATTTGAGGGCAATTTTTCAAAAAAAGCCTTTAAGAAACTATTTTTATTCATAAAAAACTCCATTTTTGGAGGTATTTTCAAATCGGTCCAGCTCACTTAAATCTTAATATTTTTTCCGAAATATTTTGGTGGACGTCTTAAAATATAGTAGATTTTATAATTCCAATGGAAAAATAGTACCGGTTTTTTTTTTGTATGGGGAGTGATGCAGTCTAATGTACATACATATACATATGTATATGTAAGAGGACTTTTTTTTTGGTAAATAAACAAAGAAGATAAGTATTAGTTTCCGATCATGATCGATCCGCATGATGAGATACTTTTTCTCTGAAGAGATCAAGTTGGGGATAAAAAAATATTAGCAATTCCCATATTAGCTGAAATTTCGGGGGCCAATAATTGCACATTTGTTCACATAATAATCGCATTTTTGATATTCAATCGGCGCTTTTATTGAGCACTGGGTGGATTTAAGGCTTTCAATTATTTGGAACGTGTATTCTTACCGCGGGTTTTTCTAATTAAATTTCTAGTTAGTTTTTAATATATGTAGTTGGTTTCAAAAATCATCCCTTCTGATGCACATTTCATACATACATACATACATACGTACATACACGTGAAGCTTCAAATCTAAAGCACCCTCTTCCCGGCAGTTGGATGAAATCAATCAACTTTTTTTGCCCAACATGAAAAACAAACTTCTATGGTTTTATCAAGAAGTCGATGAGCCCGAACCGCAAGCTGTGCAGGATCCCAACAAACCAGGACCATCACGGAGTGGCATCGCATCGAGTAGCTCAAAGACTCCGCAGGGTACATCCTTTCTGAAAATTATCACCAATATGCATGTACATCTTTATACACATCTAAAATCACAAATACCAGCAAGTAAATATATCGTCGATGTTTTTGCAAAACCACTCACCGATCAGTCGCAAAACCGCCTAAATCGCCATTGTGGCAAAAATGAGATTTGGTAACCCTGAACTCCAGGCATCGAGATTTATGCATAAAAATCGTATAATCGTTATTGAAACTACAGATCTGAAAAATTATAGCTGGAGAAAATACCGCCTATGAAGGCAATGCCTTCAAAGAAAACCCGTTTTTTCGCTCTCCTTTAAAGTTTTAGTGCCGTAAGAAAGGCGTTTTTGCAATTAGTCGATGGGTGGTTTTGCAAAAACATTGACGATATATATACATATATACAGTGGCGGTCAAAAATGTGTGAATGGTGTTTCGTTTTTAATATTTACAATGTTTTTCAAACTAAATTTTTTTAATGTTTTTTTTTTTTTTTTTGTAAAAATGTGTTTATGTTTTAACAAAAACCATATATATCACACTTTATTACGTTTTAGCCAGCATTTTTTAGATTTTTGGGTATGCAGTTTTTGGCTAACGGCTTTTTCTCAAACGAAATTGTTAAATATCAATGCAATTTTTAGCCGCTCAAAACTTGAACTAATTTCACTAAAATTTTATAATCCTGTTAACTGCATACCCAAAAAATTAAAAAAGTCTGGTTAAAAAGCTAAATTCTGTATAAAGTTTAAAAGTGTGATTTATATGGTTTTTGTTAAAGCATGAACCATATTTTGATAAAAAAATAAAAAAAAATTATTGCTTGAAAAACATTGTAAATATTAAATACGAAACACCATTCATCCACTTTCAACCGCCACTGTACATATAAATATGTATGCATATCCACACATTCGTGCAGCATTAAACAGCAATTATCTTCCATTGAATGTATCTCTTTCGTCTAAAAGGTACCTCGCCTAGCGGATCTGCGCCGTCAAAACCAAAGAAATTGTTTCTCACAGATGGATGGAGTTGTGCTTTCACCGGGATTTGCATTTACATATTTCGCGTAAACACTTCAAAACAATTGCCCGAAGAAGGCTTCCAAAAGGATCTGTAAGTTCGATTAGCTTTTCGCTTGTACAATCTCATACATATGAACTTAAGTACATAAGTATGTGTTTACATATATGAAGGGCGTATTTTTGGAGTCTTTTCGTTGGAGGTTTAAACAAACACAAAGTAAATATTTACTTTTATGTTTTCTACATTAAGTCCTCTCTAAGGTCATGCTTGACTATCCGGGCTTATATGTAAGTAATCCACAGCCTATTAAATAGCCTTTGTGAGTTGTTGGGTTCAAATGTACGTATGTACGTACATACGAGAGCCCTGCACGCTTATAATAGCCAATTACTATATGTATGCTGAGTATTTTCATTGCACATACATATCGCCGTTTAAAGTACAAAACCGCGTATCGTCGTTCTGCGAAACCCCGTAACCAGCGTTGCCGTTTTAGTCCTTTGTTGGCTAGATTTAGCTACCACATACTTTTTTTGGTTACATAAATCTAAAATTGCCCTTAGCCCATTTTTAGCTCTTTGGAGAATTGATTCATACTTGGCATGAACAAGTTATATATGCTTAATTTGATCTATGTTTTTTTTTAAGAATGTAAGAGATGAAATTTTAAACTAAAAAAGACTGATATATATACATATATGTATTGTATATTCCTTACGTTTTTATACATATGTACATACTGTAAAAGTGTTAGGGCTGTTAACTTATCTATTAACGATTTAACTATGGTTTAAAATAGATAAGTTTACGGCCCTTAATATGCCGTGTATGTTCTTGTGGTGTGATTGTACCAGCTGCTGGTGCGACTTCAAAAACTATTTGAAAATTTTATGATTGTGAAATTAGCTCAGTTTTCTAACCCCCCTTATTCTAGAAATCGAATTTTCGTAATTCGTAATTCGCAGCCACGCTACGAAAAATGAAAAATCCACATGCTGCAACCCTTGCGGAAACATGTGCAGCATTGCCAGCTATCAGTTGATTTTCGAAGATAGCTGAATGAAGGAAAACATAGAGGAAAGAGGGGCTTCCGCATTTCAAAGGCATATAACATTTCTTGTGCATATCACTCCGGCTACGCCGTCCACAATATTTTTGCGCAGAGCCCACGTCAAAATTTGCAAAAAAGTGCATAGTGCAAACCGAGTTTATTAATAAGTTAGTGGTAGGAAATTTGAAACATTTACATATCTTAAATAAAATGTGAATCCTTTGATTACACGTGTATGTTAAAGTTTTTGAATTCGGGTTATGCGTTTGGACACAACAACCGAAAATCATTGTACAAATAACTAAACTAAAGTTTCTCCATAAGGGGCAACGAAAGAGTTGCAGAATAGGGGTGTAAGTAAAAAGTATTTTTGGCGGAAATTTCTTGCTCTATATGAGTCAAAGCCGTGTTTGTGGAAGATTAAGTTCACGATATTGCAGTTGCGAATTAGAAAAAAAACAATGTTTAACAAAATGGTGGAAAAATTATGGTAGAATTATTATGGTAGAAATTATTTCCTCGACCTCATTTGTAAAGAAATAAATATTGTACCAGCATGCTGGTAAGTTATATGATTCGAGCCTGATGGTACAATCACTTGATGGAGCCCTTTTATACAAAAAGGTTTTTGGTTCGATAAAATATTAGCTTTTTTCCAGAGGTCATTGTTTTTCTATACCATTACTTATTGAAAATGTTTGCGTGTATACTTAAATATGTACCCAACAAACACAGTCTCTAGCGTTAGAGAAACAAAGAAAGAGCAGTTTGAAATTCACGTTCGAATCCCATTAGAGATCAACATTCGAATTCGATTAGAGAATTAATATTATCTCGAGTCGAGAACTATATATGCCCCTTTTTGTTTGAGATTGGAGAATGCCGTTTGTTCTCCAATCATTCTCTAATCGATAACTAACCTCAGTGTTTGCTGGGTATATGTAAGTACAAAATTTTAGCTACTATTTTTAGCCACAACGACTTTTTTAGCTCTTTTTAGCCCTTTTTTAAAGGAATTTGGCTACCATTAAAAATGATTCGCGGCAGCATTGCTCGTAATTGACATTTGTGCCAAAAAAGATATTTGCTCGCCGGAAGTTCTAGGCATCAGCCCTTATCCATTTATACTTAAAGCTCAGTTAGTCAACGACATAGCGTAAACGTAGGTTGACGTACGTAGCAGCATATAAAATTTACTCTTGATAGAGAGAGAGAGAAGCAACGGCAACGTCACCGCCATGCGGTGGTGAGTTTTCGTTAACACGCGAATCGCATAAGCTAGATCGTGTCTGCGTCAACCTACGTCTACGCTACGTCGTTGACTGTTTGAGCTTTTAGATATCGATACTTCGATATAAGAAGAACAGATAATTAGAGATAAAAGAGAGAGAAATAGGACTAGCTTGACTCTCTCATGCAAAATCTTGGCATTCCGCGAATTTTAATAAATATTCATCACAATTTGAAACATTTTAATCAGATTTTCTAGAATTTTTTTGAGTATGCAGTTTTGTAGCCCATTAATATAATAAAGTGCAAGTTGGAAGAAGCTTCGACCTACCGTTGATTTTTGGCCATTTTTTGTTCGCGCATTTTCTTCCATACATATTATGTTCAACAATTTTTTTTTTTATGGAGAAAATGAGCAACACCTTCCCCAAACAAATATTTATCAAATATCAACGGTAGGACCTAGCTACTTAAATTTTTCACTTTGAACAGAATAGGTTACAAAATTGCATACTCAGAATTTTTCTAAGAAATCTAATTAAAAAGCTTAAAATTTTTATGAAACTTTGGCAAATTTTGCCAACTTCTGTACAAAGTTTGAAATTTGACTAACATGGTCCTTGTATCTTTCACTTCACTTTCATAAAAAGTAATAAACATTAAATAATCGAAAGGTGAATAGCCAAAGAAAGCTAAAATGTATCTTCCCTATTTATATTTTTGCCACTCTATATACAGTTTTTCATATCCACGATTTTTTTAGGGTATTAGTATTATTTTTTATAATTTCATCAATTATATTATGATATTATTAATAAGGATACTGGCTATGTTTTTGGCTGCCTTATATTCTATGTCCTTTGTGATAACGAAAGTGCTGTACGAAAAATTGTTTTTGGGCTAGAGTTCAGGAAGAGTCTTAATAAATGAATAAAGAAAACACTAGAAATCGGGACTTAATCGGTAGAAATATGAAAAATCGGGCCACTTATACGTTCCGACTTTTAAAAATATTCAGAGGGACAATTTTCTCAAAAACGACACTGTCCCGCTAAAATCGGTACGAGTGGTCACCGTACTTATAGGCGGCAAAGTGACCATCAGCTGAAAATGAAAATACAAAAACAAAATATTTTCGCTTCTGGCTGAGTTGGCGTATCGTCCACACGTAAGTTAAGTCTAGACTAACTAGACTTTTAGTTCTTGAATGAATCATGCTTGCAAGGCATATCAAACCGGTAAATTAAAATATATTTTAAGCAATGAATGTTACTACATATGTAGGTCCCATAGGTTTAACACAAGTTTCTTCGAATTTGTAAAAATTGGGGAGGTTGGTTTAAATTAAACCGCTCAAACGTACATACATACATATGTACATACATATATACTTGGGCTTCACTCTGCAATCATATCGCACTTTCTCAAATGATTCTCTCACAATATGACCCCCAAATGTTGTGATTGGTTATTATATATATTTTTTTTTGTATCTATTATGGATCCGATTCTTATGTTCCCACTCAGATACTGCGGTGTTATTGATGCCAAAAACATCGGTCTGGTCACCTCGATTGAGCGCATCGTCGAATATGTCTTCATGCAGGCATTGGCTTTTCCCAGCTTGGAAGGCGATGAAGAGGATGTTAGCTGCGGTCTGATAAAAGGACAATTGCTGCCGGGCCTAAGGTCCTTCTGCAGTGCTCTGCGTGTTTGTGAGCAAGTGTGCGATCATGTGAATATATTCGACGATAAATGTGATATGTTTGAGAAGATCGAACACGTTGAGGAGGTCAAGGATATGGCAAAGAATCAGGAGTTTTGTGGGCAGCTGGAAGAGCGTGTAAATAACTGGATAAAGGGTATCATGAAGATACTAGGTGAGAGTGAACAGTTACGCAAGGAGAATGACTCGAGCGGCCCGCAGGATGAGTTGGAGTACTGGAAGAAGCGTGGTGCGTTATTTTCGCAACTGTTGGCACATTTGCAGGACCGTGAGGTGCAATATACGTTGCACTGCCTCTTTTTGGCTGGATCGCGGGTTATGCGCGTGTGGAAAGAGACCGATCGAAAGATAACATTTTGCTATAATGAAGCGCGTGATAATTCGAAATTCATTCAGGCTATGGAAACTTGCTGCCACTCTTTGTATTTGGACGATCCGGTAGGTGTCGTGCAGTAATAAATTTTGGTTAATAAAATATGAATATCAATTTTCCAATAAATGAAATACATCCACGAAAAAAAAAATTAAAAAATTTGAAAATAATCTTTAGGGGTCCCTACCGGCGTTTGAAAATATTATAATTTGATAGTTATTGTTATCGAATAATGAATTATCAATACCAATTTAGAGCAATTGCAAGTTTAATTCCAATTTTTTCACAACTTGGTAGCGACTCCTAAAATTATTTTAAAATTTTGAAAGTCCTTATTTTAGCGCATAGGGTGCTATGTATATGTTTTATACATATATACATACATATGGGTGTTTCCATGATGTCGGACGTAACATTCGTACGACTTTAGAGTTAAATAAATCATACCCCGGTGTCGGGAAAATCGATGAAGAGGAGGTCATAACGGACGTGAGAAAACAGAAGTGGTTTCAGACTACATGTAAAAATAAGCAAAACTCTGTGAATCCTGTGAATTTTTCCTTTCTTGAAATAAAGTCAAATAACGGAACCAATTCATTTTTAATCAGAAGCATTTCGTTCTTGGTTTAATTTTGAATTAAAATGTGATAAAGGACGTAACAGACTTTTCCCCCACAATATTTTTTCAAGTAATACATGTGGTATTCTTTTTGTACGTTATCTCTCCCTAGGGTTGCCAACCGTACTATAAAATATAGTATTGTACTATTTTTTGGGTCTGCGTACTATATATACTGTTGGAAAAAAATATATAGTATGCAAAACTACTTAATTTCTTCAATTATAAATATAAATATATTTCAGTAATTTGTAAGAAAGAAATGTTTTAAAAAGGATGACATTTATATTGAAATATTATGACTAAAATAAATATACTTTAAAACAAAGGGTCCACAGATCAAAAATCGCATCATTTTTAAAAATACTTAGAAAGATTTACCGATTTCTCTATTCCTGCAACTTCGGCATCCACAGAAAGAGTTTTTTCTATTAAGATTTTGAAATGGTGAGATGAGAGAGATAAAGCGAATATCTCACTACTAAAAAATTAACTTTGGATTTACATTAATTTATATATTTATAGCGATAAAGCATATGATACTTTCAAAGAAATATATTTTTTATAGAGGAAATGCATAAGACAGAAAAAAGATATATACTTAAAAAGCAATTTTCCTTTTTCTTAAAAAAATACTATATATATTTGAAATGTACTATATTTTTTGAGATTTTTTTGAAAAAGTACCATCTTATATATAGAAATGTTAAATGGTTCTTAGATTTAAAATGACGTTAAGATGAAGTCTCTACTATCAGCAGAACCCCAGATATAACGATCAAAAGAAGTACATGATTAGTCAGAATCACGAAAAAAAGGAAACTTTGACAGATCATATCTCCGAAGAAAAAAAAGAAGAAAAAAATTCGTCCGAAATCCGTCCGACTTAAAAAAGAATGGCTCTTATAAGATTGGCCACGAAATGACCTTGAAATTGACACTAGCGTTATTTTGCCACTCGACATTGGAAATCTTTTTTTTTGTTAATGAATTTTACATATTTCAAAAAAAAAATTCAAGCTAAAGAAAAACTGGCAGGATGGAGGTTACGTTCATTAAGAATATCCCACATATATAATTTAATTTTTAACCGACTTCCAAAAAAGGAGGAGGTTATCAATTCGTCAGAATATTTTTCTTTTTATGTGTGTTACCGCATAACTTTGGACCACGTCAACCGAATTCTTTTTGCATCGGAAAGGTAGTGGCTCAGAAGTGGTCCCATACTAATATGGATTAGATCCCATCACTGGATCATGAAAAAATTAACGGTACTCCTAAATTATTATACGAGATTTGAAGTCGGTTTTATTTTTTGCTTAAAAATTATTTGTTTCAGTTCTTCTCTCCACCGTTTCGCGTTTTCATAACCTTTTTCGCCATCTGAATACGAAATTTAAATTTATAAAGCCGCTTGAGCCCATTTACATACTTGCATTTTCGGTTTACATTTTTATGGAAACACTCATATGGGAGCATTGCTAAATACCTTTTTTACAACCAAATATTTTTTATTCAACAAAGTTTTATGAAATGATTCTTCTTCTTACTTTTATTCAAAAGGTATGCATGAAACAATCGATACTCAGCTTACTCCAAACTGTGCGACTCATCTACAGCGTTTCTCAATTTTACAACACTTCCGAGAGAACCTCATCACTTATGGTTAAGGTTCGTGTTTTATATTTTATTTTCATTAAAAACTAACTAGTACTGTAATTAATCTATTGGAATAGCTTGAAATAATTTTA